TGTGTTTGCAAAGCGAAATAGTAGTTTTGTTCAGTCTTGGAAGTGATATAGGCGTTTCTTTGTTGAGCCATATATATATTTTACCCGCCTAATTGTTATATATCATAGTTAACCCCTTTGAGCATGTAATTCTATTTCTTTGGCAACCACATTACAAGCCTTACCCATTTGTTTGAATTAACCATCTATTTGAACCTTTTCACGTCTCATGAGCACTTGAATTATTATGAACTTTGTAAAAGTTAAAGTGTGGGGTGGTTGGTTTGGCTTTTGAGTGGAACTAATGAAATAAGGAGAAAGGTGCAGTGTTTTAAAAAAAAGTAAGAGCTACATGAATTGTAAAGAAAAAGATAGTTGTATTGCTGTGAAAATATGTGATAGTGGTGACTCTTGATATAATTGTGGTTAAAGAAGTGGGGAGCTAATATATATTGATGTGAAGGTGGATTTATGGTTTGACATAAGTGTGGGGTTTTCAATGTTAAAGTGTATGTATTAAAGTGCTTAGGGAGGTGTAGTCACTCTTATATCTAAATGTATCCTACCTGACCCACAGCCTACATTACAACTAAATAAAGTCATACTTGATCCTAGACTGAATGAGCTCGATTAATAAAGTAGTATACTACGGGCAAGCCTATGGTGCATCTTTTGTGGAATATGAATGTTATTTCTGAGAGTGAGTGAATTCTTTTATCTTGAGTTCCTAATTGTTCTTAAATTGTATTGTGGGTAGAACTACTCTCTATATTTGTGTGAGAGCACTTGATTCATGAAGGAAAGGTAATTTCAGTGACCTATATGTTAGAGTAAGTGGGTGAGTTGTGAATAATGTGTGGTACTTGTGAGTTAAATCTTGAGGTGAAGATGTTACACTCTTGTGCTTAGTCTATTTTAAATATTTTTGGTGTGATGAGTTAGGAGAATTGTTTAAAAAGGTCATGTCTATATAAAGTGTAGTTTGTTTTCTCGAGGACGAGCAAAGGTTTAAGTGTGGGGTGTTTATGATAGGCTATAATTGTGTATTTTAGTCGCTTATTACACTCTAATTTACTGCACTTTAATTGAGTTTGAGCTTTAATCACTAGTGTTTTGCACTAAATATGTGTTTTATGCCTTGTAGGAGTGATTCCGAGCTATGTAGATATTATGGAATGAATTCAAATAATTTGGAGCTTTGAAGTCTGAGTAAAAACCCAAGGAATCAAGCCGGGATGGTGTTCGGGGATCAACGGATGCAAGTTAAGAACGAAACAAAGAATCGAGCGGGCATACGGTGCATTGTCTAGTAAAATATACATAACTTTTCGGTCATAACTCCATTTGGTCTCCACAATATATCGTTAGAAAGATATTTGAAAGGGGTACAACTTTCATGTTTTGAATTTTCGAAAATTCTCACTACCATGCCGCATGAGACGCCGCAGGGTGCGGCGTAGCAGTGTAAAAACTGGCCTGACAAGAAAAATGCAAGGCTGTTGATAATCTCCACTAGCGCCGCATGGTGCGCCACAAGGTGCGGCGTGCCGGTACAAATTTCACAGAGCCGGAGTTCTATTTCGCGCAGGAAAGGGTGTTTCGTCTGGGCCCGACCGTACTTGGTATAAATACATATAAAACGCTATTTTGAGGACTTTTGACAGATCTTAGACCTAGGGTCACACTTTAGACGTGGCGGAACACAAACCACGCTTTGTAGGAGGCTTCTAACTAGTTTTTCTTCTCTTCTCTTCCTTTAATTTCATAGTTTATTTGTTCTAGAGCTTTGGGTGCTACATGAACGTTGTAGTTTGAAGCTTGAATTGTTCTTATTATTTTATCATATTGGTTTATTTATTCAATCTTGCGCTTAATTATTTGATTGTTTGATCACCAATTGAATACTATTTACGAATCTAAGATTGAACTCGGGAGAGGGAATTCTAGATTGCATATAAGATTGAGTAGAGCAAGATCTTAACTCTGAGGGGGAGGGGCAGATTTGCGGTTAGGATAGGAATATACTTAATCGCCTTGCTTGGTTACTATATGGGAATTATTAATGTGTTCTTGTTAATACTAATTCCATAGGAATATAGGCGTTAGATTAGCTTGAATAGGCGAGTTGTACTTCGGGAGAAGGCTACGAGCAATATTAACCCTGTCAACCAATAAACCAGATAAATTAATTAGATGATTTAAGTGGAAAACTCAACGGGATTGTTAGCTAACCCATAGCTCTAGAGTATTCAGTCACATTGAATTCGTCTCTATAATTCGCCAATTTGTTTCCTTTGTTTCTTAGTTTACTACTCTAGATTATCTTTAGTTAAATATTCACACATTAGGATTCGCTCGAATAGATTAATTGTTTGATTTATTTAGTTGATAGTTAATCACAAGTCCCTGTTGGTACGATATTTGGACTTACAATCCTATATTACTTGCCGACCACGTATACTTGCGTGTGCGTTTGGGAACAACAATAGCCTAGATAACATGTTTGGGGACATGAGGCATCACAGGTAAATTTGTTTGTTTTATTTAATGTTGACACTTTATGCAATGTTGTTGTTAAGTTAATGTAACTAGAATTAATATCACCTAACAGTCTTAGCGATGATTGACATTGACAAAAAATTAATGTGCTAACGCATGTATTTAGAGACTAGTACTATATTAAAAGCACGAAGCTCCATAACAAAATGTCGTTCGACTTTTTTACCTTTTAAAATAGATTTCACAGTAAACAAAACTGTAGTTTGATAATTTTTCCTAAAATTTATTAGGAGTTCAAAAGCAACTAATATTTTAAGTGTTAAACCTTTTCTTATTTGAATTATGTAGAAAGTTCTAAAATTTAGGACCTTAAAATTTGTTAAGATTTCAACTTAATTGTTTCCTTTCCGTATTTTACTTCCTTCCACGTTAATTTTTTTAGTATTATAAATTTAGAATTAACTTATATTATTTATTAAATCCTTCTTTATTTGATTAGTAGGAAATTAAAAAATAGATGACATTAGTTTAGAACTACATGAAGGAATAAAAAGCACACATACATACTACAAAGAAAGATAATACGAGAAGGAACATACTAAAATAGTTCATTTTTGGACAAAGCCTATTTCACTGTTCAACATTCTCTTTAATTATAAATTAAATACTTAACATAATCATATAGAAAAAATTATTTTTATTCAAAAGAAAGTTTTTATTCATTGGTTTTTATATGACATTATTTTAAAACTATATTAAATAATTAGAATAAATAAAAGTATTTTAGAATATAAAAGAGAGAGAGAAAAAGTGATTGGCAAGAGTCATAAAACTAAAGATTCAAAATTCCGCATCCAGTTAAACTAAATTAAAGCATATGAATAATATTAATCTGATTCTTTAAAGTTGTGTATTCATTGATATAAATATACGCGCAAAACGCGTACCCTAAGACTAGTACCATGAAAGATATATACTTGATCAATGCTTCCCCTCCCCCGGCAGGGGGATGGGGTGGAGGTGGGAGGCTTGCACTATAGATTCATTTGCTGCTCATTTTGGCCATAATCTAAAGGTTTGGGTCAATTTGACTATATACCTAACCCAAATTAACCTATAAAACTTATTAAAACATATAATAAATATTGTGGTTTGATTTATTTGAGATAATCGTTATAAATAATAGAAATTTGTTTATTAGCTTAATTTAATATTACAATTATAAAAATAACAAAAAAACAAATGAAAAATAATATTGAGTTGGGCAGGTTGCGGTTTAACTCATTGTCTAACCCAAATTGACGCATCCATCTTAACCCTCGCAAAGAGTTATGACCCAATGACCCAACCCATTTATTAATTCATTCGTTTTAACTCGACTAGTTGTAGCTCAATTCGTCCATTTAACGCTAAATATTAACCACACATACTAGGTTGGAGGGCATCAATCCTAGCCACAGGGACACAGATTAAAGGATGGGCTCGAGGAATAGTGATACCAGGTCCCTCCTCCATATCCACCATCTTATCATTTCCTTCTCTATTAACTTTCCATTGAAAGCACTGAATCATTGCTGCAAGAGTTGTATGAACTAATTTCAATGCTAATGAGGTTCCTGGGCAGCCTCTGTTGAGTTTCTTTTTAACATAGAAAGGTATTAAAAATAGGGTGAATGGGAAATGGAGGGAAATGAAAATTTTGAGTAAAATTTTAAGTTTCCCTCTCCTTTTAATGAGACATTGTCTCTCATTGGTAGAGGAAAAGGAGTTTGGTGGGTTTATATACAAATGCACTTCATGTAGCTCTTAAAGAGTTAGGAAGAAGGCAAGCCTCGCGCCGTCGTTGTCGCTCGCTCGGCTACGGCTTCGGCTTCGGATTTGATCAAATGATCGATTGATTGATTAATTTTTTGGATCAAATTTATTTGTTAATAGTAAATATTAACGTAATATTATCCGTGTTTGTAACGGATATGTTCCAATCCGTGTATTGTACCACCAGTTGCAATAGCAGCCGCCTAGTGCTCCTCCCACCATGGCTAAGTGCTTGCTCCATAACAAGCTAGTGCATGCTCCACCATGGAGAGGGGGCGGGTCTCACAACTGACTGCTATAAATATGAGCAGCAGCAGTTGGGGAATTACACACCAAAACAGAATTGAGAGCTATTGATCTTCTCTTCACCGAAAACTCAACGTTGGCTATAATTTGCATTCCTTCCTCTCAGAATTTCCATTCGACTTCTGAGTTTTCCTCCTTTGTTCTGCATTGTTTTAAAACTACAAACAAAGCATCCGTAAGTGTGATTTGCTGCCGAACTTTGTATTCGCTGAAACACTAGGATTTGAAGTACCGCTACACCAGTGTGTAATTCGTTCTATCCTGGGAGGAAATAATCCATAACCTTGGGTACTAGGAGGGGATTAAATTCCTTAAGGAAACACTGTGAATTTAGTGAGCTCGAATTAATTTCTCTTTTACTTATATTTACGTTTATAAGTTAACGTTCTAATTTCCAGAATCATTATTTACAAATACAGGCATAATAACAACAACCTCTTCGCCCAGATCCAAATGGCAAAAATTCATAGTGTTGTCCCCTTACATCTAATTGAACTTTAGCGCTTTTCTCTTCACTCAAAAATCTTTCTGGTTGAAATTCAAGTGGATTTTCCCAGTAATCTTGATTCCTGTTAATGCTCCAAATATTCACGAATAGTCTAGTCTTTGCTGGAATTGCGTATTCCCCTATTTTGCAGTCTTCACTTGATATTCTGACTATCATTGGTGCTGCAGGATGAAGTCTTAGAGTTTCTTTGATGATGGCTTGAAGGTAGGGAAGGTTTTCTATGTCCGATTCTTCGACGAGACGGTTCTTTCCAACGACGGAATCAATTTCTTGTACAGCTTTCTGCATTATGCGGGGATGGTTAATCAGCTCTGCTAGTGCCCACTCTATCATAATAGCTGATGTATCACTTCCAGCAGCAAACATGTCCTGGAAAAGTAAATTCATTTACTGGATTACTTGGGTTAGTGTACACGCAGAATTTGAAACTTATGGGTTTAGTATTTCAATTATTTTAAGTGACTGGTTACTAAATTAATAATTTGTACACAATTCAATAAAATAAATATATGATTTGGACAAAAGTTACTGGGTTCAACCGAACCCATATCCAAAGGGCTAGCTCCGCCCCTGGCCACGGTGTTGGTTGCGGGTTCGGTTGAACCCAATAGCTTTTGTTCAAACTCTGTATTTGTATTAAAAATCCAATGAATATGTACAAATTATTTATTTAAAACCACTAACTTAAAAGTATTATATTCCCGAACCCATAATGTTCAAATCCTAGCACCACTTCTGAGTGGACATGGATACCGGCAGAAAGATTAAACTGTAAAAAAAAAAACTAAAAGAGACGAAGATGAAAAAGTCACCATGATAAAGGCTTTGATGTTCTCTCTGCTTAATCGTATCTCAAAGCTTTCATCTTCCTGTTTATCTAGCAAAATATCAAGTAGGTCTTTGACTACTTCACCTTCATGATTTCTCTTCCTCCTTGCCACTTGGTGCTCATTTATGATCCTCTCAATCATCTCATCAAACATGTTGCGGATATCTATTGCACTTTTTCGAAATCCTTGCAAATCAAGATCCTTACAAAACCACATAAAATCTGATAGATTAAACTTTCCAGTCAGTTCAGCAAACTCTTGAATGAGCTTTCTCATACCCCCAGCTTCATCTTCATTCTCAGAACATCTTTTGCTCATTATCATTCTTGAAACAACATTATTTGCCAACCTTAAAAGCTCACCTCCCAGATCCACAGCCTCATTATATTTGGCCTTTTCTGTTAGTAATGCAATAAAACGTCTTATTTCATCGCGTCTATTTGGAAGAAGCAAGTCAATTGTTCGACCACCAAGAAGTTCAGAAACACATAGCTTCTTCATGGATTTTGTGTAAGGTCCATAAGGTGCAAAAGAGAAGCCTTTTGCATCATAAGCTAAGCAGTCTACAGCAACCGTTTTTGGTCGACTAGCGAATGAGATTTCATGAGCTTTGAGGAACTCTTTCGCCATTTCTGGTGAAGAAGCAACTACACAAGGCACGGACCCAAGTCTTAAGTGGATCAAGGGTCCATACTGGTTTGAAAGCTTGTGAAATGCTTGGTGTGGTAAATGACCAAGAAGATGAAGGTGGCCTATGATTGGAAGTGCAATTGGGCTTGGAGGGAGACAAGAACATGTGCTGCGTTTTCTGAATAGCTTTCGAATAAAGATGGTTGAAATTAGCCATACAAGGAAGAAAAATATACATTCTTGGATGTATGCCATGATTGGAACATTTATCTCAAGAGGTATATATTGAAGTTAGGGCTGTCAAACTTAGCTCAAGCCAATGACCCGCCCAATCCGTCCAAGGTTGGGCTGGTTATTGACCCGCCCATTTATTGAACTCGTCCATCTCGGCTCAACTCATATGAACCCATTTAAAATTAGGCTGATTTTTAGTCCAAATTAATCAATGAGTAACTTTGCCAAAAATAACTTTATTTGATATGTTATATATAACCATTACAAAAGAAAAAAAATCTTATTTAGTAATTATACAAGTCATAAGAACAACAACACATATTAAGGAAAGCTTGATAAGAGTTGGATGGATTGGGTTATGACCCAAATTTTAATCATCTTGACCCAACTTATCTTAGCCCAAATAACTTTTATGTGGGTCACTTGATTTGCCCAATTATTGAACGACTCATTTTGACCCGCCCAAAATTGACCCAACCAGCCTATTTGCAGTACAAGTTACGCTTAGGCACTGCATATGCTATAAGACGCCCATGTTATTGCTTGTCCTAATCATGAAATGGTTTGCATCACCCAAAAAAAAAAAAAAAAACTA